ACACCTCCTCCTGATCCAAGGATGTGCAGGGTGGAGAGGAGACAGGCGCAATGCTGGGTGGCCAGGCTACTTGCGAGGAGGCAACCTTGTCCATCGTGAAGGGCCACACCAGCATTGCCTATTTAATCCCGACATGAGAGATGAGCATTCCTGGAAAAACATTTCCAGTTTCTTGCCATGCATTTCCATTCCATGTAACTTGACCCATTGCTCATTCTAAACATGTTGCCTTAGCATGCAGGGTGTGGTTTCTAAAGCCTACCAAAAGCTAAGAGGGGGTTTGCAGTCTCCTGATGGCCAATTGACCAGAGCAGAAAACTCTGAACATAGCCACTACTTCCCCAAGGAATTGTCAGACACCCCCAAAAATGGTGGCTGCTTCCTGGGGGCATGGGGAGGGGTCATCTTAGGGTGGAGGGGAGGTAAAGAGAGGGGAGAGGGCACTGCAGCATCCGCATGGTCTGTTGTAAGGCTGAATGAAGGTGAATGAGGAGCGCTGCAGCTGTCATAACTTTGAAACAGAGTCATGTGGTTTTTGGGTGTCTGTCTTTGAATGTTCTTTAAGTGACCTGTCGTATCTTGAGAAATACCTACATATGTTCCGTTTATGTTCATTAAGTGATCTGTTGAGGACTACCTGCATATGTTTTGTTTATGTATAAAACAAAACTCAGTAAGTTGCCATTACTGCCCTAAACTAGTTATTGACTGTAAATAAACAAGTCATGTCTATAAAGTGCTATTCAGAAAGAAAATAATTGTTGTCATTGTATGTGTTCCTTGTGTAATCATGTATTTTTCAAAAAGCATAATCAGATCACCATGGATTTTTTTCCTCCTCTTTCAAAATATATGTTTTGATGTTCCTAATGGGGTACATTCATCAAATACCTATGACTGCCCATCTCATGAAAAAGTGATTCTGTGTAGCACACATCAAAACTATAAAACAGTTAACATAAAATATCATATCATACTAATGCAATTCCTATCCAGAAAGACCATTTGCTTTATTAAGTCCATCTTGTAATAAAAATTCTGCTGGCCGCTGCCATCTGCCTAATGATGAAATGATAATGAAAACAAAGCAGCATAAAGCAAAGAAGAAGAAAGCTATCTTGCATTGATTAAATATTTTACAATTTTAAAAAATCTTTTAAATTAAATGTTGCTTTCAGTAAGCAAAATAAAAGAGTTATGTCCAAAATAGATTCAACATGTCAAGGTAGAAAATGAAAGCAACAAATGAGTCTTAGGATGTTTTTGCTTCTATAAAATAGAAGCAAGAAATAAATCTGATGAAATACTTCTCCTTTCTACTTCAGTTCCTGGAAAACAAAGTTCAGAAAGTCTTCATAGGTTTTAAAAACGCAGCATTGTCCCATTATTCATTCTCCTGTCATGGTGGTTCACAGTGAGCATCCACATAAAGGATTGTTTTTCCAAAGACGTAATTGCAGGAGGAAACAATGAATTAGTTCTGCTTTCATCCCCACATCAGAGAAACTTCAGCTGCCTTGTATTGTCCCTACTATGGAAACACAGCTAATCTAATTACTATACTTTCCACCCTAAAAGAGGGTGGAAATGTTGGTGCGTCTTATGCTAAAAAAAAAAAACTATTATTGGCCTCCCAAACCCTCTGCATGCCCAGTTTTTACGAAAAATGGCCCCATTTTTGGCCTCCCAAACCCCCCATGCGTCATATTTTTGCCCTCCTCGGCCCCCAGGAGCACTCTGCAGGCCTCCCAAACCCTCTGCGCATCCAGTTTTTGTGAAAAGCTTTTCGTAAAAGCAGGACACACAGAGGGTTTGGGAGGCCTGGAGGTCAGGGAGCGCAAAAACTCTTTTTTCTTGTTTTCGTCTTCAAAATCTTGGTGCATCTTATACTCCGGTGCATCTTATAGTCCGAAAAATTCAGTAGCTTTCCAGCTAACTTAGTTTTGGTAATTTATTTATTTATTTATTGGTTCGATTTATATGCCGCCCTTCTCCGGAGATTCAGGGTGGCTTACAATGCGTTAAGCAATAGCCTTCATACTTTTGTATATACCTGCTTAGTAGGGCTTTCGCCCGCTCCCCCCAAAGCGGTGTTCTTTTTTATACAAAGTCAGCTTATTGCCCCCGCAAACTGGGTCCTCATTTTACCTACCTCGAAAGGATGGAAGGCTAAGTCAACCTTGAGCCTGGTGAGATTTGAACTTGCAGTAATTGCAGGCAGCTGGTGTTACTTAACAATGCTTTAGTCTGCTGCGCCACCAAGGCTCAATAATCTGCTTTGTAGCGCTAAGACAGGAGTGCTATGGGCTCTATTAAACCTGTAAACCTGAGGCTGTCTATTCCTATTCCTATTCAAATAATTGAACACAAGACAATTCAAAACTAATAAAATCATCTCTAAATGTAATCTATCTACCAATTTTGGCAACATTTAAAAAAAAAACAAAGCAAAAGAAAGAAAAGAGATTTGTTGTTTTCATTTCACAAGATACTGATTTCATTTCTTGGTCCCAAATTTATGCAATTCTAAAGATGTTACTTCCCATTTTCCGTACCAAATTCCATGTTAGATATCAGAATTTTGTCTGTGACTACCGCATAGTGAGAAAATTAGGGTAGGTAGAGAGCGAGACCAATGAAACAAGACTTTTTTTTCCGAATTGTGAAAATAAATAGAATTAAAGTCAAACAAAAGAGATATCTTTGGAAATTTTAGAAAGCCCAAGGAAGGACAGAATAATAATCAAAACAGATGATACATTAAAATTAAAAAAGACAAGGCAATGTATTTGTTCAACTTTCCTTTGTGAATAGAATATACAATAATGTAATTAAATTTCATAAGCAAAATATTACAGATCTTTGCTAAATAAATAATTTTGAATGCAGCTTTAGTTTAGAATTCTGGGAGTTGAAGTCCTCCAGACTTAACGTTGCCAAGGTTGGAGAGCCCTGCAATGGATGCTCTCATGTAACATGAAAAGAAGAACAATTTTGTTTTAGCCTTTAAAATATTTTAAAGAAGTACAAATGTAATTTTCTAGACACTATTTTTTTTAAAAAAATATTAAAAACAATTATATCATTAGAAAAAACTTTTTCTCTTTCTTCTCTTTATTACACACATTTAATCTACTGAATCTAAGAGAATTAATACAGCATTCTTTCAGCTCATCAATTAAAATTGTATCATTAGAGCAAAAATAGTAATTGTATTCTCAGGAGGGGGGAAACCAGCATCCTCAATTTACAGACTAATTCTTTTAAAGTCTGTAATAGCTGTTTTTCATAAGAGCTTTGCAAATTATATACAATGAGTGAATTCACCTTGGGTTCCCACAGGCATCACCCCAAAGTCAGAAATGATTTAAACTGTAAACAGTTCTATAAGTATCTTTGTGTAAATTGTTTCTGATCACTGTTGCTATAGCTACAACGCCAGACTAATGTTCCAATAGCACCACATCATGAAAAGAACTTTAATCAAAAGTTAGGCAAGGCATGTCTTTTCTCGGCAATTAATGAATGAAGATATTTTAATTATACCTTATGATGAAGATGCTGTGCTTAAATGAAAAATCTTCACAGAAGAAAGTTACACTCTAACTGAAATATTATTTATCCCTTCAAAAGCAAACTACTTGTTTTGCTTTGTAAGAGCGCTTGAGGGCCTTGATTCAAGGCTCAAATCCCAATTCCACGTAATAGATAATAAATCCTGTTTCACAGATAGTCCTCAACTTACAACCACTCATTTAGTGACTGTTCAAAGTTACCAGGGCATTGAAAAAAATGACTTACGACCGTTTTTCACACAACTTTGCAGCAGCCCCACAGTCACGTGATCAAAATGTAGTCGCTTGGCAACTGGCATGTATTTATGACGGTTCTACTGTCCTGGATTGATGTGATCACCATCTGTAATCCTCCCATCTGACTTCCACCAAGCAAAGTCAATGGGGAAAGCCAGATTCATTTAATGACCCTATGGTTCACTTAATAACTGTGGCAAAACATTCATAAAATGGAGCAAACTCACTTAACAAGTGCCTTGCTTAGCAATGAAAATTTTAGGCGCAATTGTAGTTGTATGTCGTGGACTACTTGGCCGTTCTGATACTACCTATCTTCAGTGGCTGCTTAAGGATGTACAGTCCATAGCTATAGAGCAGGTGGCCAGATTCTGTGCAGCAGCACTGGGGATTCGTTGTAAACACGTGTCTTCTCCACCATAGTTGTGTTATATAACAAAGGTGGCAAACCCTTTGCACTTCTTAGTCTTTTCCCTTTTAGCCTTGAAGCTACAACGGGCCACACAGTTTATGGATTGTAATTGTACTGTGTTTTCCCGAAAATAAGACCCTGTCTTTTTTTTTTTGAACCCCGAAATAAGCGCTTGGCCTTATTTTCAGGGAGGTCTTATTATTTTGGAGCACGTGGAGCAAGGCTTCTCTTGCCGCCTTACCTGATTTCCAGTTCTGTCTCCCTAACTCTAACCAGAAGAAATGGCGGGGACCGGCTGCGCATGCTTTTAAATATTTTTGGGGAGGGCTTGTTTTCAGGGAGGGCTTATTTTTAGCGCATGCACTCAAAAGGCCAATTGGGCTTATTATTAGGGGATATCCTATTTTCAGGGAAACCCGGTAGTATAATTAGATCATGTATAATTGACAGACTGGATTTTATTATAGGTTTTAATTGTTATTTATTATTTTATACTAGCATTTTTAATTGTATATTTACTGAGCATTTTTATTTGTTCTGGTCTCTGGTCTAAGACTAATAAATTGATTGATTGATTGACTACCTGCTTCTGACTTTATTTAAAATCATGCAAAAAGAGTTACCATAAATAATTACTGCTAATTAATTTTAATTCATTGTTTAGAAAATGAATAACATTTCCATTTTCAATTAACAGTTCCATTTACCCACATAAACTTTACCCCTTAAAACTGGCTTTATGAAAGAACATCACATAACTCCACGTGAATCCTTACCTCTTGGTTTTTCACATTAAGGTATCCATAGTGTGCCCTTAGATGTCGTTTTTGTGTATAGGAAAATGGCATCCATTGGACACTGGATTGTCCAAAGCAGCTGAGCATGAGAGGAAAGTTGACTTCATTTGTAAGGCGGGCAATGATGACGACTAGAAAAGCGACTGCAAAGCCAATTACAACAATGGTCTTGCGCTGCAAATGAGATTAAAAAAATAATTAACAAAAAAACACCTCAACACGAGTTTATTTTTTAACCTAAGGGGGGAAAATCAACCAGGTCGTCCATGACTTACAACCACAACTCAGCACAAAATTTTCACTGCTAAACAAGACAGTTGTTAAGTGAGCTTTGCCCCATTTTACCACCTTTCTTGACACAGTTATTAAGTGAATCCCTGCATTTGTTAAGTTAGTTAACACGGCTGTTAAGTGAATCTGGCTTCCCCGTTGACTTTGACCCTGGAACACTGCAACCATCATAAATACAAGCCAGCTGCCAAACATCTGAATTTTGATCATTGTGACCATAGACATGTTGCAATGGTCATGAGTGTGTAAGACAGCCATAAATTACTTTTTTCAGTGCCGTTGTTAAGTTCAAAATGGTCACTAAACAAATGATTTTAAGTCAAGGACTATCTGTCAATATAACTTCAGTGTTTAGCTCGCTGGGGAATCCTGGGAGTTGAGGTCCATGAGTCTTAAAGTTGCCAAGTTTGGACAGCCCTGTCCTAAGGGATCTTTGGACTGCTCACTGACAGCTACTCATTATTTTCTCCAGGGAGGTGAAGGAATACAAATTTAGAAGACAGTCCTCATTCCCTGTAGTTTATAGGAAGATAGCAAGCAAAATATATGATAGATCAAGATAATAATCGTAAGAACACTAAGGGCTGCACCATATTTGGGATGACTTTGGAATAAAGTGAGAAGTGAAAATTACGTTACTGTGTTTCCCCAAAAATAAGTAATAAGTAATACTTATATTTTTTTGAACCCTGAAATAAGCGCTTGGCATTATTGCCATGTGCTCAAAAGCCTGATTGGGCTTATTATCAGGGGATGTCTTATTTTGGGGGAAACAGGGTATCTATTTTCAAGTTTATATTTCTTTCTTCTTTTTTTTAATTGAAAAGTTTTACAAAAAAGTTTACATATTCCCCCCCCTTCCCTGCCCCAACCTCCCCCCTCCCCCCTCCTTTTCCCAGAACAAATTACAGGGTATAACCTTCAACAATCATGATCAATCCTAGTCTAAATAATTATAACATTCCACATCTCTTGTTCCTTCAATTCCCTAATTACCCCCCTAACTTGATTACTTAAAGACACACCAAATATCTATATAGTCATTCATAACCTATCTGCAATTTCTTATTCCGATATTTATTTTGAATATAATCTATCCATCTTCTCCAGTCTCTTAAATATCTTTCATTTGAATAATCCTTCAAGTACGCCGAGTTTATATTTCTTAACATCTCCCTATTTAAATACTATGTGCAGCTATTCAATCACTTTACAGCATCAGACACAAAGAATCGGGATCATCCGTTAGGTTGAAGCATAGAAGATTTATTCAAGTCTATATACAAGAATCTAGTCAATTAAAATTCAGCATTAAATTGGTGCCAGATAAAGGTCAGTGGAATTCAGGAGGGATTGGTCTTGGACCATTTGTGGGAACATAACAAATCTAAGCTGATGACGTGCTTAACTCCATCCCCCAGCTCTGCCTGGTCTTCTCCTACATACTCAAAGCAATTGAATGACTCTAAACTGGCAAGGAAAATAAATTAATGAGCTTGAACGGCATCTTGTGTGCTCATTATTGTTTTTTTAAACATGACCTCAAGTTGCTATAACATTTTTTTACAATTTGTATTTTGTTTTAAAGGCTAGAAATCTATTTATCTGATGGCTCACTCTCTAAAGAGAAAAATAGTGTAGTCTAGTATGAATGGAATGAACATTCAATTCCTTATTCTCTCCTCTTTATTCCCAATGCCATTTGGTGTAAACTCTCAACCATGACGCTGTCCCCAATCTTTCAACATGATTAAACTGGTCGTATTTTTTTTACGCTAATCTGAACATTCCCGTCATCACCTCAGAATTTATACCAAAAAAAGTACCAATAAAATAACTTGCTGATACCAAGAACATTTTTCTAGGGATTATAATCTTATTTAAAAAATTATATGTACCAAAAAGACTCAGTAAAACCTTAATAGCAAGTTATAATAATTTTAATGTGCTCCGATCCTTTCATACACTTCACTATTCAAATATTAAAAATAAAATTACATTCATAAGTCCTTTTTGTTGATCTTTACTAAGTGAAACATGCATTAATTTAGTATTGCTATGATCAATATGTTGTATAGGATAAAACTGGATGAACACAACCTCTTCACACTCCTAATATACCCAAGCAATCTATGAGTATTGCCATCCTTTTCTAGCAATTCTGAAAATTCAATCTCAATAATAAGAAAACTCTGATCGTTGTCTCACATAAAGCAATCAGAATCATTCTGCCTAGTGTGTATATCAAAATCAATAAGCAGAAGACAAGATGAATCACTCTTTTTAGAATTAAATTTATGAGAACTGAAGACAAAGGACAAGGCAATTTCAAATTTGACCTATGCTTTTTCTAGTAGTACTTTGAATGAAAATGAATAAAAGTCTAGTTCAATGAAATTTGAGACATATATGTGTGTGTTTGTGTATATACATATATACACATATCCACACTCACTCAGTTAGTCAAGCTACAAAATCCCAAATTGCGCTAATCAGAAAAGGAATGCAGCTCTTTCCTTTTTCTTTCCCCCTAAAGCAGCAAATTGAAACTATTCCCAATTTTCATATACTGTAAATCTGTGCGTGGGCAGAATTTAATCATTGCCAAATATCTATGATTACCCGATATATTTATCATGTCTTTGAGTCATATGTTATTTTTCTTAAAAGTAATAAAGAGTGCATTTCATTTTCAATAACCAAATGATTATTCTATCATAAATTTGTCCATTATTCTATAACTAAATCTGCATACTACAGCAGATAGCAATGGAATATGTATAACTATATAACTTTTCCCCAATAATCACATGTGAGTTAACTTAATAGTATGTACATATGCACATATGCATAAGAATCATATTATTTCCTTTTGGAATAAGCAACATTATGCAAATCACAAGAAAAGAGTAAGGATATTGAGTCAAAAATTTAAAGTATGAGATTGGATAAAAGTAAAGGAATCTGGTTTACATAAAAATCAGTAATAGTATCTCTCCATAACTTACAACCCATCTTTCTTTCCATCATTTCCACACAGTTTCATATATTGCCTTTCATTCTTTAAACTACTCATTTTTTTTTCTTTTGAGGTACTCTTCAATTCCATCAAACCATGTTCCTTCTTCATATTCCCCTTCCTCTTCATTACTCACTCTTCTTTCCTGAATTTGCTTTGAGTTTTGATCTTTATTAGGTAACCCATGCCCTGTTGAGTCATCATTTCAAAGATATTTCCTTACCTAAATAGAGAAACAGAATGATCAAGGAAAGATGACAGCCCAGGTTCGAGACCCGAACTCCATGAAATGGGTGAGCTCCCATTCCTGTTCCAGCTCCTGCCCACTTAGTAGTTCAGAACCATGCAAATGCATCTAGATTAAGGTACCACTTTGGTGGGTAGGTCACAGCATTCCATGCACCTTTGGCATATAACCATGCTGGCCACATAACCATGGAAAATGTCTTCGGACAACGCTTGCTCCCTTGGCCAAGAAATGAAGGGGAGCACTGCATCCTAGCGTCAGACATGACTAGACACAGAAACCTTTTGCCTTTTGATTACAATAACAGTTTGTTAACAGAGGATCTGAAATTTTAACCTTGTCTTTTTTATTAGTATTCTTCCTGTTAAATATTTTGTCATTAATATAGTATACAGATGACAGGAGAATAATTTTCAAATAGATCTACTAATTTAAAAATTGGGGAGGGGGACTGTTTTGCAACGGTTGGGAACCAATATTGTACTAATGTATTAATCAAAATTCAAATAGTGGGATGACATGTGTATATATGTTGGCTTTTTTCTTTTCAATGCACTTTTTTAATGTCTTGATTGTTTTGTGTTTTTTGTGGGTTTTTTTTTTTAGTTTTGCATTTTAACTTCCTTATGAATAAAATAAAAAATAAGAGAAAGAAAAAAAGTATTTTCAATTATTCTTTCTGCTTATCTTTTATATAGGGGAATATTAACAGCATTGTATCATTCATCAGTTTTCTCAGTCTCCAAACACACATTAAACAAGCTTCACAGATACTCCATAAAAAAACCACATCCATATTTCAACACTTCTCAAATTATATTCCCTACACTTGTAACCATATCATCAGAATTTTTCATCATTCTGACATTTATGACTTCCTTTTCATCTTTTAAAATTTATTTTTAATTCCATTATTTGACACATCACTACTATTCCCACACGGCTCTCTAAAATACTGCTTTTAGCATTCTCTCATTTGAGTTTCATTCCAGATCAATCTTTGCTTTGATTGATTCTAATCTCTCTGCTATATAGGCTCTTCATTTAGCGCTTTTTCCCACCTCCATTTTTTTTCATTTCCATCAAAAATCACTCTGCATTTTCTTTATCTCTTTTAACCTTAACAGTGCTTTGCTTTCTTTTATATTCTTTATAAGTTCTTCTCTCTACATACCTTGTACAATATATTTGTCTTACTATTTTTTGCAGCATCCTCTGATAAGCACTTTTTCTTAAACTAGAAACTCATTTCATTATGCCACATTTTTATTCCATATCACTTTTGTGGTGTGAAAAGTATTTCACTCCATCCCAAATAGTCTCCCCCGCGCCCCCAAATCCACTTTCCATTCCTTCTGGAGAGATTAATTCATATTCTACAGTAATACTTTTTCCAGTAATAATTTCTGTCCCCCCTCCCCCCTCATTTTCCCCCTATCTATTTTTCTTCAAGATCAATTCCTGACATTCGGTGTCAAGATGATTTTGACAGAGGTATGAAGGAACCATTATCTAGGCAAGAAGGACTGAAGCATGTTTAAAGTCCAGTATGAAATAACATTAGGAAGCAGCTGAGTCAGACATCCCATAACCCACTGAACTATAGAAAGGAGGAAA